AGTCTCAAGGATACTATCATGTCATAGGATAATCAGAGTCCTGAACAGAGGATAAAGGCATTATACTCAGGGCAAACAAGAGATCTTACTCAAGGGTTAAACACATCAACTTTAAGCCGGAGTTATAATGTGAAAGTTGGAAGGGGACGAGTGAGGCAGGTGACCCTCTGACCCACCTCCATCATACTGTACACTGAAGGGGACGAGTGAGGCAGGTGACCGTCTGACCCACCTCCATCATACTGTACACTACAGCGTGCAGGCGGAGGCTCATCTGACCCCACCTCCATCATACTGTACACAGGGGACAGGTGGGGCGAGGGACAGAGTGAGGCCCGTCTGACCCACCTCCATCATACTGTACACTGAAGGGGACAGAGTGGGGCAGGTGACCGTCTGCCCACCTCCATCATACTGTACACTGAGAGGGGACAGGTGAGGCAGGTGACCCTCTGACCCACCTCCACCATACTGTACACCAGAAGGGGACGAGTGAGCAGGTGACCCTCTGACCCACCTCCATCATACTGTACACTGGAGGGACGATGGGCAGGTGACCCTCTGACCCACCTCATAATCACAAGGGGGACAGGCAGGTGACCGTCTGACCCACCTCCATCATACTGTACACTGGGGGACTGGTGGGCAGGTGACCGTCTGACCCACCTCCATCATACTGTACACTGAGGGACAGGTGGGGCAGGTGACCCTCTGACCACCTCACCACCTCTGTGCAGAGGACAGAGTGGGGCAGGTGACCCTCTGACCCACCTCCATCTGACACCGAGTGAGGCAGGTGACCGTCTGACCCACCTCTACCATACTGTACACTGAAGGGGACGAGTGAAGCAGGTGACCCTCTGACCCACCTCCATCATACTGTACACTGGAGGGGACGAGTGAGGCAGGTGACCGTCTGACCCACCTCTCCATCCTGTACACTGAAGGGGACGAGTGAGGCAGGTGACCGTCTGACCCACCTCTACCATACTGTACACTGAAGGGGACGAGTGAAGCAGGTGACCCTCTGACCCACCTCCCATCATACTGTACACTGAAGGGGACGAGTGAAGCAGGGGAGAAGAGGGAAGGGGAGGGGAGGAGGAATATTCCACACCGACCAATCATCCCGCGGCCAATACACATTACACACATTATAGGTTTTTGGTTAAGCAGCTGTTGAAAACTATTGTGTTGATAGTCGACAAAATGATTATGTTGCTGGGAAGTAAACAGAGATAAAGAGACAGTGGTAGAAAGACGGGGAGGGAGACAGAGGTAGGGGGACGGAAGAGAGAAAGAGATAGAGAGACGGATAGATAGACAGAGACAGAGAGACAGAGTAAAATGGATGGAGAGACAGATAGAGACACAGAGGTAGGGAGACAGAAGTAGACAGACAGGGATAGAGAGATGATATAGGAATAAAAAAAGAACAAGAAGCAACAAGAAAGACGGGAGGATACAAGAAAGAGAGACTAAGGATGGGTGGGTAGGGGCCAGCACTCCATCCTACTAATATTTACCCTCAATGGACTGCCACTGTGACGGCTCTCAGTTCCGCATATTTGACCGCGTGAGGATGAGCCTGGCACACACACACACACACTACAACCTTGACCACCGTAGGGTCAAGACCTTCCAGGCGCTGCTGCGCAGCGGCCCCCTTTGGCCATGTTCAGCCATTCCTTGAGTCCCTCTCCCCGACCCATCCTCACCACCGGGATATCAACATAATCAAAATGACAATTTCGTTTCGGAAAGAAGTGGGATCAGTGTTGAACAGTAATGAACAGTGTTTAAGCCAGCGAGTTCAGCACTAGACAGTACCAGTGAGAGCAGTGACCTACCACTGACCATCATCTTCTGACCAGGTGCTAATCAGTCCACCATGGGAACAATAGTGGGTCGGCTTCACACCTGACTACGAGATAACACAACACCACCTAGCAGAGAGTGAGGTACTGTAACACTACCCCACACCACCCGGTGTCTCCATGGCCATGTGAGGTCCTTCATATCAACACCTATGGACGAGTTACTGCACCACGAGGCCTATGTGACCTCACACAGCATGGCAAGAGACCAGCTCGGGCCATCAGCTGCCAACAATAATAATTTGTATGTTCAGTTCACGCCCCTTCTCCTTTTAGTAATGAAAGCTTTTGTTCAACAACCCACCCACCCACCCCATGTCTTTATAAGTAAGAAGTCATTTTTGTCTAATGTAAATTTTCAGCTTTCGGGCTACAGAACTTTTTCGACAAACCGTTATTGTTTTTATTATTATTATTATTATTATTATTATTATTATTATTATTATTATTATTATTATTATTATTATTATTATTATTATTGCTATCACACAAGGAAACTGGCTGGAGATGGGCGCCGCCTCACACAAACACCACCAAAAAAGGTCCCACGCTGTTTCTTACACTTTATTGAATGTTAATCCCGACGGTGCACCCACATAACACAACCCGATCTTCCTATACCATTCATATGCAGGAATATACACAACTGGGATGATTATACAACTACTCCGGTTAAATGTAAGACCTAAGCATTACGTATACACACTAAATCACTGAATTTACCCATAACGCCCGGACCATGTATACATAACGCCCCTCACCATGAATAAATAACGCCCCTCACCATGAATAAATAACGGCCCACACCATATATACATAACGGCCCACACCATATATACACAAGACCATGCCAGCTTACAAGTAATCCACCACCAGCAGCCCCGAGAAACACACGAGTCTGTACTGTATTGTACTGTATTACACTGTACTGTACTGTATTACACTGTACTGTACTGTATTACACTGTACTGTACTGTATTGTACTGTATTACACGGTACTGTACTGTAGTGTACTGTATTGCACTGTATTGTACTGTATTACACTGTACTGTACTGTATTACACTGTACTGTACTGTATTGTACTGTATTACACGGTACTGTACTGTAGTGTACTGTACTGTACTGTATTGTACTGTATTACACTGTACTGTACTGTATTACACTGTACTGTACTGTATTGTACTGTATTACACTGTACTGTACTGTAGTGTACTGTACTGCACTGTATTGTACTGTATTACACTGTACTGTACTGTATTACACTGTACTGTACTGTATTACGCTGTACTGTATTGTATTGTACTGTACTGTATTACACTGTACTGTATTGTACTGTACTGTATTACACTGTACTGTAGTGTAATATACTGTACTGCACTGTACTGTACTATATTACACTGTACCGTACTGTATTGCACTGCACAGCACTGCATTGTACTACACTACACTGTACTGTACTACACTGTACTATACTGCACTGCACTGTACTATACTGCACTGCACTGTACTGCACTGTATTACACTGTACTGCACTGTGCTGCACTGTACTGCACTGCACTGCACTGTACTGCACTGTAATATATTGCACTGTACTGCACAGTACTGTACTATACTGCACTGTACTGCACTGTACTGTACAATGGGTGGGGTAGACGGCGAGGTAATTTCATATGTCTGGATGAAGTGATATCCAGAAATATGAAGGTCGACTTTCTCCCCAGATCCTTTATGGCGGCGATAAATAACTGCAGTGTGGCTGGTGGAGACGAGGCGAGGTATACCACCACCATCACCACCGCCCTGCTTGCTGGGGAGACAGTGCTGGGGAGATACTGCTGGGGTGCTAGGAGAGGGAGTCCTGGGGAGACACTGCTGGGGGAGGATACTGCTGGGGTGCCGGGGGAGACACTACTGGGGTGTTAGGATGATATTCTTGGGATGTTAAGAGGAAAGACGTCAGTAAGTTATCGTACTCAAGGAGATGTTATTATGGTGAAATGCTTTAGTAATAATCCACAAGTACTCAGTCACTGTACTCGAGGAACTAACTTAGTGCGATGAGTCTCGAGAACTGTACTTGAAGGCTCGGTATTTATACACGAGGGTTGAGGCATTATTTTGTACTCAAAGGATTTGATCTGAAAGGTGTTTGTGTGTGTGTGTTACCTGCTTATACCTATAGTTAAGTGAACAGGTAACAATCGAACCTAAATCATACATGTGTTAATGATGATGGCAGCACCGAATCTACCACCAACCACCACCAACCAGTACTACCATCACTCACCCAAAGTTGTTGATTTTTTTAAATAAAAAATCGAACTTATTTATTTTAAATCGGATTTTTTTTCAACTTTGTAATAATCAGAATAAAAAATATATATTATTGCACCATAATAGTCACCATCTAGTCCAAAATGTGCATATTACATCATCAAAGATGAGTACAGTACAGTGTACGGGACTGTACACACTGCTCATGGTTATGATAATGAAGATGCTCAAGTTCGTTACAAAATGTTGTTTACTGTAACAAAGCCTAAGGCATTATAAATGGAGCTTTATAAATATTCAATGTCTTGTTGTATCCAAAAGTATTGCGGTTCAGTTTGTGCCTTTAATATTTACCGACAACTCCTACTTGTTTGAAGCATAAGTACAATACATGGGAACATATAGGCTAAGTGATGATACTCGTCTGAAATTTGTTTGTTGTTTCCTTTACAAAGTACAGTACTGTATTTCTTGTGAGAACACTGAACAGTGAACATTACAAAAGTGGAAGTTTCTTTTGTTCAATTATATAGGCTTGTGTTAAGAACACATCTGTTTCTGTGGTTCATTTACAATACAGTCGGCTATGTAAGCAGTTTTCTTTAGTTTTTTCTTCCTTACCTTTACATTTACGTGTAAAAATAAAATTGTGATTGAAATCAATGACTTTTTTTTAATATTTTTATTTAAATCATGATTTAAATAAATTAATTAAATCAACTTGATTTAAATCAAACAACCCTGCACCCACCACTAACCACCACCACACCACCATCACCAACTACCACTGCCACCTCCATCACCACCCGTCCATCTCTCACAGGTTGTATCTCTCTCCCTTACAGAAAGTGCTGGTGCAGGATGAAGCCGGCCATGTGGTACCTGATGATGATAGTGGTGGGCTTCTTCTACGTGTACCTGACGGCCGTCCAGTACATCCGTGGCCAGGAGGTACACGACCCACCCTCTAACTACCAGCCTCAGTACGACCCCCAGTATTACGACGAGAATCTTATTAGGTGAGGGAGTCTTACCTGGCCTCTTGAACACCTTGTGTGTATTGTTGTTTTGTCTGTGTGTTTGTCATTCGTGAATTTTTTGTTAGTTTGGTTTTGATTTTCACACACACACACACACACACTCACTCTCTCTTTTTATTTATTAGTCTGTCTGTCTGTCTCCCACTCTCTCTCTTCTTCTGTCTCTGTTTATCTCTCTCTCTCTCTCTTACTTTCTCATACCCCCTCTTATCTTCTTTGTTTCTTTCTGTTTATCAATCTCTTTCACTTTCTCATATCATCTCACTCTCTCTTTCTCTCTCTGCTCTTCCATACAGTCATCTCCCAACTCTCCCTTCATCTCCCCAAGTTTAACACAGTCATCTCCCAACTCTCCCTTCATCTCCCCAAGTTTAACACAGTCATCTCCCAACTCTCCCTTCATCTCCCCAAGTTTAACTCACATGTCACTCCAACTCTCCTTCATCTCCCAAGTTTAACACAGTCATCTCCCCAACTCTCCCTTCATCTCCCCAAGTTTAACCTGGGGTCATCTCCCAACTCTCCCTTCATCTCCCCAAGTTTAACTCTACAGTCATCTCCTTCAACTCTCCCTTCTATATCTCCCCCTGCAAGTTTAACTCACAGTCATCTCCCAACTCTCCCTTCATCTCCCCAAGTTTAACACAGTCATCTCCCAACTCTCCCTTCATCTCCCCAAGTTTAACACAGTCATCTCCCAACTCTCCCTTCATCTCCCCAAGTTTAACTCACAGTCATCTCCCAACTCTCCCTTCATCTCCCCCAAGTTTAACTCCAGCTTTCATCTCCCCAACTCTCCCCTTCATCTCCCCAAGCGAACTCTGCCAGTCATCTCCCAACTCCCTCCCTTCATCTCCCAAGTTTAACTCCATACAGTCATCTCCCCAACTCTCCCTTCATCTCCCAAGTTTAACTCAGTCATCTCCCAACTCTCCTTCATCTCCCAAGTTTAACACAGTCATCTCCCAACTCTCCTTCTGCCCCCCAAGTTTAACTCACAGTCATCTCCCAACTCTCCCTTCATCTCCCCAAGTTTAACACAGTCATCTCCCAACTCTCCCTTCATCTCCCCAAGTTTAACTCACAGTCATCTCCCAACTCTCCCTTCATCTCCCCAAGTTTAACTCACAGTCATCTCCCAACTCTCCCTTCATCTCCCCAAGTTTGACACATAAGAATTAAGTTTACTGAGTGTTAGGGACCCAGCGGGCAACTTTGAGTACTAATTAGCTAACTTCACCCAGCTGTTTACGGCTCAGTTTGGTGAGTTTTGTAAATAAGAGCAACTTACTGGTCAACTGAAGCGTCTGTAGTGAAGATGTTTTAAGGCTTGTTGTGATGTTTTGTTGATGTTTGTCTTTGTTTCCAGTCTCTGTGTCTGTCTGTATTTGTCTCTTTCCCTGTATTTCTTTCTTTCTCCACCTTCCTCACCACCTTCACCTCCCGCACTCTCTCCACCCTCCAAACCTCCTCCTAGTTCCCTACCATTCTCTATCGCCCACCAGCCTCCCCTGGGAGCCGGAAATTCCCCTCCAAGGGTAGAAAGTTTTCCCCAAAAATCCCCATTAGTGGTCTTGTGTCCCCAGCAAGGAATATTCTCAGCATGTCTCTTCAATAATGAGTAGCACTTGGGCGAATAGGGGAGGGGAGGTGGTGGTGGGTGGGGAGGTAGAGGGGAGGTGGTGGTGTGGTAAGGGAGGGGTGGTGGTGGGGAGGGAGGTGGTGGTGGTGGGCGAGGGGGAGGGTGGTGGTGGTGAGGAGGGTGGTGGTGGTGAGGGAGCGTGGTGGTGGTGGTGGTGTGTGGTGGTGAGGGAGGTGGGTGGTGGTGGGAGGGAGGTGATGTGAGGGTGGTGGTGGTGAGGGAGTGTGGTGGTGGTGGTGAGGGTGTGGTGTGGTGGTTGTGACGAGGGAGCTGGATGCTGGAGATCCTGTCTCAGTCACCTGACCTAACTTAACCGGAAAACTATATCCTCCTCTCTCTGGTGAACCCTGACCAAGGATCACTCGTGTGTGTGGTGAAAGAGGTTAGATGATTAGGTTCTCAGGTAAGGCTTTATACTCCAGGTATCCGTTTACTCTGAGGGAGAGATTAAATTTCTGACGGATAAATTGCTGTTTGTCGTGGCTCGGGAGGCGGTGGGGTGATGCTGCCATTGATCCACTTCCCGGGAGATGATGAGCCACGAGGGGGGGCCACGCGAGGGCTGGTAGGTGTGTCCGATAATGCTGTTGACAGTTTCCGGTAGGTCGCGCCCACACCTGATAATCTGTCTCTGTCTTCTCAACACTTACGACTTTCTCTTTCTGATCTCTCTCTCTCTCTCTCTCTCTAAGTACATAGGTTTCCACTCATTCTTTTTGATGTATAAATGGATCGCTTTTCCTTGTGGCTCAGTAAATCTCGCCAGTCAGTAGTTTATGTATATGTATAATTATGTATTGTCTGTCTCAGGTCTTGTGTATACGTGGGTCCTTTTTACATCGCCTTTGGATACTTATGTGCTCTTTCCTCCTTAGTTTCTTCTTATTTTCTTCTCTTTCTTTCTGTCTCTCCCTTTTCTCACTTTCTTTTTGCCTTTTTACGGTTTTTTTCATCTCTCTCTCTCTCTCTCTCTCCCCTTTCTCATTTAATATACAATTCTTATCTCCAGCCCCCCCCCTTCTCTCACACTTGTGCCTCTCACCAACCACTCCATCTCCTCGCCCTCTCCTCCCTTCCCCCTTGAAGCTCCCTCCACTCATATTCTCCCCCTCTCACTTCTCCTCGTCTCACCGGACGCCCCGAGGCATCATATGATCTTGGTAACGTATTGTATTTTCAGGTAAATTTTTCCTCAAGACAGAAACTGGATAATAATAATAAGACTTGTTTTCCCTTTTTATTTTGATATTCTCTCTCTCTCTCTCAGACTCTTCCTAGTGTTTTTACCCTCACTTGACTTACCGCACTCTCCCATTCTCTCCCCCTATTAACCATGCCTCTCTCTCACCCCTCTTTCATTCGCACCCTTAACTAGCCACTCCCCCTCTCTTCTCCCTTAAGTCACTACTCCTCATCAACTCCTCACTCTCAATCCTGTCCTTTTACTGACGTTTCTCTCCCTTATTCTTCCTCTCTTTCCCATCACCACTCTCCCTCACCCTCCTTTACATTCCATCAACTGACCGCTCCCCCTCTCCCCCAACTGACCGCTCCCCCTCTCTCCAACAGCCCCACTAATCAGCTGGACTTCGAGTACCACGACTACGACTCCATCACCAACTTCCTGAGGTCCATGAGCGCCACGTACCCCAACCTCACTGCCCTCTACTCTGTCGGCAAGTCTGTGCAAGGTACGTCCGTCCGTCCGTCCGTCCGTACTGATAATAATTAAGTCTTCAGTTAAAGAATGTTACAATATACAGTGAAACCTCCATATAACGAACTCTTCTCTCTACATAATCCATTAGATGTTTTTTTTAGATCTAACGGAACCTTGATGTTACGGAATTTCATCTCTATATAGTTCGTTACATGTTAGTTCCACATCTAACGGACCCTCAACATAATGGACTTTCCTCTCCATATAGTCCGTTAAATAGAGATTTTACTGTACAATAAACAGAGATGATAAAAGTTACATATTTAGGGAGTGTTGGGTCACTTGATTAACAAATAATATACAAGTGACCTAAGTGGTACAAATATAATATATGTCGTAGTGTGTGTGTGTGTGTGTGTGTGTGTGTGTGTGTGTGTGTGTGTGTGTGTTTTTATCGGCATTTTGTGTCATTCTCTCAGTGGCGGGGGAGAGATAGCTGAGGAAAGCCGAGGAGGGTGAGGTAGGGTACTGGGGGAGTTGAGGGAGGTGGTGATGAAGAGACGAGGGAGAATGTGGAGAGGGGAAAGGGAGAGATTTGAGAAGGTCGGTGAGGGGCGAAGGAGAGGCTTGGGTGGGGAGGTGAGGGGGCGATGGAGATGGGAGGGAAGGGTCGGTGAGAGGGCGAGGGAGAAGGGAGGGAAGGACGGTGAGGGGGCGAGAGAGATGGGAGGGGAGGTGAGAGGGTGAGATTGAGGGAGGGAGGGAAGGAGGCGAGACCAATCTTTGCCCCAGATTGAAATTCGGGACACGGGGCAATAATAGGCGATGGTTTCAGCGAGATGCCTCCCGCACTCTTCATCAAGGACAGCTTTGGCAGCACGTACGGTACCCCTAGTAACATCAGTCGGTGGATTCCTCCCCCTGTGGTGTGCTACAACTGCTTTGGGGTCAATCATGTGGCGAAATACTGTCACAAGCCAGCCACCTGCGGCTACTGCGCAGGAATGCATAGCACAAGCAGCTGCCCCATCAAGGAAGGTGCCTCTCAGGACGGAAGAGAGCAGGACTCCCCATTTGAGTGGCAGTGTGCCAGATGCAGGAAGAAGGGTGTGACGGCCTGGCATCCAGGTTGCCTTGGGAGCCCGCCTCCACCCACAATAGCGGTCACACTCAGTGACGCCAACGCCAACGCTACAGGGTCGCCGCCAACGCCTGAAATCAACAGCTACACCTCCCCACCCAGGAGGCAGTGTTACAGGTGCAGGGAGGAGGGTGTGACGGCCTGGCATCCAGGTTGCCCTGGGAGCCCGCCTCCACCCACAAAAGCGGTCCCACTCAGTGATGCCAACAGCAACACTGCGGGGTCGCCTCCAGCACCTGAAATCAACAGCGACACCTCCCCACCCAGGGGGCAGTGTCCCAGGTCCAGGGAGGAGGGTGTGACGGCCTTGCACCCCAGTTGTCCTGGGAGGTCTCCTCCATCCACAATAGCAGTCCCACTCAATGATGCCAATGCGGCCGGATCGCCTCCACCACCTGAAGTCAACAGGCACAGTGACTCTCCTTCGTTAGCCAATGCAGGTCAGGTTAAAGCCTGCCAAGTAAGTGTACCAGTGAACAATGACAGTGATAGTGTTAGTGGAGCTTCTGAAGGAGCTCGTGCCTCCTCTCATAATGATGCCAACTTGAGGGTGAGTAGCCAGAGCGAGACCGATAGTGATGGTAGCATGGATGGGGAGAATGAGCCCCAGACTGCCAGTGTGGTCTCTATGATAGTCCCAGGTCTGCAGACTGTTCATGACCCTGTAAGTTTTCCATTGTTTACGGAGGAGGAACTCGCGGGACTGATGAAGGAACCCGCGTATAAAAATCCTACTGGAATAAGGGCTGTGAAGAACATTATCAGGAAATCCAGAGGTACAGAAATTGGAAGGGTCAGCTTATTGGTCAGGCTGATCTATGAAGCCAGCGTGCGACTCTCTACGTTAAATTCAAGGTGGGAAAAGTAACACGAACGCTTAGGTTCATTTCATGGAACATCCGGAGTGTTAATCGCAGAATTAATGATCTACAATGGTTTGTTAAAGTTTTTGACATTGATGTAATTGGCTTACAAGAACCTTACACGTCCAGCACCCAGAAGAAAGTTGCACCCAGGATAGCTGGGTTTACAGCATATAATAGTGGAGCAGGAAGTGGCCTGCTCACATATGTAAAGAATGGTCTGGTCTGTAAATGGATTAAAACTCACAATGATGAAAGTATTCACTATCAACAATTTACAGTAAAGACAGCAAACAGTCAATTTTCGCTGTATAACATCTATGTTCGGTGTAATGAACTGCGAGCGGACGTGTTACCAAAGCCATCAGGTAACAATGCTATGCTGTGTATGGGTGACTTTAACTCTCGTCACACTGTCCTCGGTGATGTCCAGTGTAACTCTAATGGGAGGGTGTTCGTGAATTACATCAATAATCATAATATCACTGTATACGACACAGACAAAGTGACACATCTGATGGGGGGCAGACTTGATTATGTGATTGGGTATAACCTAGTGGACAGTAATGTCAAGGCTAAGGTCATCTCAGACTACCTTGTCAGTGATCATTATGCAATACTTACTGAATACACTGTTGCTGATGTCAAGTGTGAACCCCATCCTAAGCTCAGAATTAATATCCCAGATAATCTTAAACTGCACTTCAAGGCCTACATCCACAGATGGTATGCTGGATATACACCTGGGTCAGTGGATGAATTTTGCTGTGATCTTGTAAATGTCATTACCACATATTATACCACCTGGGTTAAGTCAAGGAGGAAGGGGGGCAGCACTAAACCACCTCTGTGGACACATGACCCCATCCTCACCAAAGAAGGAGAGAATGTAAAACAGCTTGCCAACACTTATAAGCAAAATAAAACTAGTGATAACCTTTTGGCATTCCTCAAAGCTAACAGAGAATTTCGTGAACTTAAAGGTCAGGTGAGAAACACCTATTGGGAACAATTCTTACAGGGGATTAATAGAACAACCACTCTAGCAGAAATGTGGAAGAAAATTAGAGCCATTACCAAGTCACCCACCCCAGTCCAGCTTCATCACAGCCCTGCAGAATATGCTGACATGCTATTAGACCAATGGTCTAGTGTGTCACGAATCACTTCCCTGCCTCCTGACATACAACAATATCTTAACACCTCACACATTAATAGGGGTTTCAATATTGAAATAGCCTGTTCCTCACCAGACCTTACTGACCAGTTTCCTATAACGCACCACGAACTAACAACAGCACTAATGAAAGGTGAGTCATCCTCCCCTGGTGAGGATGGCATAACCTATAACACCCTGAGATTGTTGAATGAGATCCCTAACCATCCACTGCTTGACCTGTATCAAATGAGCCTCACACAGGGTATTCTGCCTAAGACATGGACTCATGGAAACATAGTTCCAATCCCTAAAGCTAATTCTCCAAACTTCAGGCCAATTTCACTTACATCCTGTATGTGTAAAGTCCTTGAAAGAGTTGTTCTAAACCGTCTCATGTTTCAAGTCAAAGACAAACTCGCCCCTAATCTGTACGGGTTCATGCCCGGGCGTAGCACACAGACATGCTTTGCAGAATATCTTGTTCACTCAAAAGATAAGACACAAACAGCCTTCATAGACCTTAAATCAGCCTTTGATGTAGCTAATAGAGACATTATACTTGAGCAACTAGCTAATTTTGGCATACAAGGTAACCTCCTGACATGGATAAAGGGTTATCTGTCCAACAGGTATGCCAGTGTTCTGTTTAGGGGAGTTAAAAGTACCAGAATGAGATCATTTGAGCTGGGCACGCCTCAGGGAGGAGTGTTAAGTCCTATGCTCTTTAATATACTGATGCACAAGCTTATTGCTGACATTCCAGTTCAACCAAACGAAGCCGTAATATGCTATGCTGATGATATCTGCATTATGACACAAACCAAACTCAGGCTCCAAGCCTTGCTGGATGTATTTGCTCGGAGAACTGTTGAATGCGGTCTCATAATATCTGTTGACAAGACGAGGGTCCTCAATCCTCGTCCTGCTCACCCTCTGCCTCTTGACTATAACATTAACAGCATGCCCTTGGAACTATGTAGCTCCTATAAATATCTTGGAATTTGTGTGAATGATGCAAACTTTGTCAGCAACCTTCGTGACAAACTAATGCAGCGCATTAAACCCCTCAGAACCCTTGTTGGCAAGGGCTATGGAATTAACATCACCTATGCTCGTACTTTCTATCTTCACTTCATTCGTTCTGTAGTTGACTATCATGCTCTCCATCTTGTGACTATTCCGCCTAAACAACTCAACAGCCTTGAGGTAGTGCAAAATGAAGCCATGCGCATCATCCTAGGTTGCCCAAAATCAACCAGAATTGTAAACATGAGGAAAGAGCTCGGACTGCCCTCCCTATCTGAGAGGATAGCCCTACTTAATACCATGTTTTGTGTCAAAGTTTTGAAGAACAATAGTTCTCAAACTACAACTCAAACTGAGTTGATGTTCTATCTAAGTAATCCCGACCATCTCGCCAACCTTTCACAAAAGACTCTCTTTGGGGCGTGGCTTCATAAAAGTGTTGCAGATCTCCTGAAACTGAATGTCCCAATCACCCCAGACGAACCTATTAATGCCATTCCTCCTTGGCTGGACATATCAGTTCCTATTAATTACACTCCTGTTGGTAGTAAGCAAATGTTAAACACCGATGTGGTGAGATGTGTCACACTAGAAACTATTAACAGACACATAGAGAGTATTAAATCAAGTGAATGTTATGCTTTTACTGATGGTTCTGTGCAGACAAACACAGGTAGAACAGGCTGTGCAATTGTAATATATAAAGAAAAAGAGATGATAGTGTCAAACAAACAAAGGCTGAACAACTGGGCCAGCACAACACAAACTGAACTAACTGGAATCTACTTAGCCACAGACTACCTCAAAGAAAATGGAGGTGGGGTGATATTCTGTGACTCTCAAAGTGCTTTGAAATCAATGAACAGCCCGTCAGGTTCTATGT